AAATATTCAATTATAGAGATTTTTGGTGAAAGCTGATTGCATTTTGCATGATTATGTATTTGCTAATAAAAATAAAAAATAACATTAAAAAAAGTTTGAACAGACTGATTCTCATAAAGGAAATAGAGAAAGCTATCCATGGATCACTTGACAAGATGATTTCTATGGGAATGTTGCCCTAACTTTAAAGACCAATGTCAAGAAATAAGAAAGGTATGAGACTTTACTCTACTTGTAGCTGACAAGTTAACCAGTCACAATTTCAAGGGCTCTTGGTGCAAAACAAGACTCCTAAGCCAAAGATAAGTGGCTCTTTTTTTTTTCTCCTAGTACCAGGAATTGAACTCAGGACCTCACACTTGTCAGGCAGGTGCTGTGCTGCTCAGCTATATCCCTGGCCCCCAAGTCAAAGAAGAAAGATGGCACATTAAGCAAGAGTGATGGCACTCAGAGTATCAGCATTCTGGGGCTGGTTTATTCCAAATGCAAAGACAGCCAAATAATACCTGGATAAGCAAAGCATTGCATTACAAAGTTAGAACCATGAGACATGGAACTTGACCATGTTACCATGGCATCAAGCACCCTTTCCTGGCTGTTGTTTTGTCTTTTGAGACAGGGTATCACTGTATAATTCAGACTGGCCTTGAACTCACTATGTGGCCTGGGCTGGCCTTACAGGTATGTGCTACCATGCCCATGTACTTTTCTTGATTCTAAAGGAAAACAATAGTAGGCTAGATAATAAGCACGCTTGCTTTTTGCTCTTAGGGGAGCTAGAAGGAAGTGTGCCCTTTATGTTAGAAGGAGACACTACTATCTTAAGGCTGGAAGATAGCTTGTATTATACAGAGGGAACAAAAGGGGGAAAGTAGGAAACAAAAGGCAGTTATTGCATAATTAGTAAAATGTGCAGAACACAAACAGACCCAAGGGGAACTGAGACCAGCAGGCACCAAACTGATGTATCATACACTGTTTCAAAGAACACAAAATGAAAGAAAATGTCCATAATCTTTTAATGAAGCAACAATACCTAAACCTAATAAAGATAGTAAGTATATACAGAAAAAACTATAGACTGAAACAATTTATAAACATGTAAAAATTCTAATATATTAGCTAACAGATTCTAATGTTACATTAAGAAAGCAATACATCATGATGAAGTAGAATTTATAACAAGAATGCAAGGATGGTTTACTATTAGAAAATTTATTAATATAAATCATCTTATTAAAGAGAAAAATTATATGGTTATATCCAAAATGTTGAAAAACCTTTGATAAGGGCTGGTGAGATGGCTCAGTGGTCTAAAGCACTTACTTAGAACAAGTTTAGCAAAGCACAGGGACTGCGGTTCAATCCCCCAGCACCACATGCTGCGGTTCAATCCCCTAGCACCAGGGGGCGGGGCTGGGCTGCCCCCCCCAAATAAATAAATAAAAGTAAAAAAAAAAAAAAAACCTTTGATAAAACTGAAGCCATTCCTAACAAAAATTCTTCAAAAATGGGAATGTATGAATATCTCCATAATGTAAATAAAACCTCAGTTCTAGTGCTAGTGTATTATTAATAGGGCAACCCAATAGGTGTTTCCAGGGATGTCAGAAGCACTACATTACCTCCATTATTATTTAACACTATTCTGGAGACATTAACCAATGCAATTAAACAAGAGAGAACAATTAGAGGAACAGAAATTGAAAAATACAAACCTATTTTAAGATGACATGACAAAATAACTGAAAACCCTAAAGAATCAAAAATAAAACTTACTGAATTACTTTACTGAGTAGATAGCAAGATATAAAACTAGCATACAAAAATAACAGTATTTATATACTTGAATAATAACTACACAGAAGATATAAAGGCCTAAAAGGGGGAGGGAAATACAGGGAGGCTGGATAACAGGTAAAACAGCTACATGAAAGAAATAAACTCCCTTTCACAGTATCTGCTGTACTTTTCAGATTTTATTTAGTCTTTCAGGTTCTTATACTAGGTAGACAATATGTTTACACATGTAGGTCTGATTTATTTCACTTATGAGTATAGCCTCTAGTTGCATCCATTTACCTATAGAAACTTCACTTTATCTCTTTTATAGCTGGATAATACTCCAGTATATAAAAGTACTACATCTTTTAAAATCTCTTTCTCAGTTGATGGGCATTTAGGCTATTTCCCAGATTTAGCTATGACAAACTGTGCTGCTATAAACATGGATGCACATATACTGCTGTGGTATGATGACTTCAGTTCTTCTGGAAAAATACCTAGGAGGGAAATAGATGAGTTGAAAGGGACCTCCAATCCTAGTTTTTTGTGGAATCTTGACACTGATTTCCATAGTGGTTGTACCAGCCTATGCTCCCACCCACTGTTCAAAAGGAAGGAATAACTGGGATGAGGGAACAGAAAAAAGAAAGGAAAGGAAAAAATATATATGTATATTAACAGGATAGCTTGAATAATTGTACTGCTGATTTCTACTGGCCTTTTATTTTTTTAATTATTTTTTTAATAACATTTTCTTTTTTTTGTTTCCTTTATTTCTTTTTTTCTTATGGTCAGCTCAGCCCACCCTGGGAGCGGGGCTGGTATGGCATGTGGTGCTTTCAAACCGAAGTCCCTGCATGCTTGCCTAAGCAGGCGCGTTAGACCACTGAGCTATCTCACCAGCCCTCTACTGGCCTTTTTAAAAGGAACAGTCAATATTTAAATTTTTTCCTTCTTTTTAATTTTTTTATTACCAATTCTACATACTTGTATCTGGCAATCTGAACAATTAATTGAAAACAACAATATGTAATATAATGACCATTGTTGAATTTCTATTATTTTGTTTAGTGAAACTTACTATTGTTTCTAATGTGTTTTGGTTTTTTAAAAAACTTTTTTCTTTTCTCTCTTCAAGAGACAGACAGACAGACAGACAGAAAGAAATTCTAGTGTTCTACAGAACAGTAGGTGACTAGTGCACAATAACCCATTACATATTTTATGAAGGTGCAAACATGAAAAAATGTTAAGGAGATAGGTTAAATACCCTAACTGAGTGGTACACACTGTATGCATGTGTTTCAATTTGACACTGTATTCTATAAATATGTATAATAAATACATGCTAAACAAAAATTTATAGGAGTAACAAAAGATAAAATATTTAAGAGTAAGCATTTAGAAAACATGCAAAACATAAAAATTTGAAAGGCACAAAAATAGATCTGAACAGATGAAAAGACATTCTTGTTCTTGGTTATGACATCTCAACATGACCAAAATGGCTATTATTCACTAACTTACACATTTAATGTGATCACAATAAAAATGGCAGTGAGATTTTTCATTAAATTAGAAAACTGATACTAAAATTCATACTGAAAATAAATATGCACTAATATGAAGATAATAAAAATAAAGAGTTGTAATGGAGGGACTAACAGATACTAATATAAGTTACAAAACTCCTGTATTTAAAACAGTGTACAGCAATGCTATGGGAATAAAACCCAGCAAAACAGAAAGCCTCGACATTGACGCACATACGTACGGAAATTTTACTATGTGATAAAGAAGATATCTTACATCTCTGGGGCAAAGATAGCCTTTTGAATAAAAA